TTTTTGATGCTGACATTCATAAGTACTTCAGAAATACAACCTGCCCCCAACCAATTGTGCACATTATCTTAATAGCTGTATAACACATTCTTGAAATCTGCTTTTCCCTGGATGATGAGACTATAGTTGAGTCACTCAGGAAATTATTGAAGGGAACAAAAAGTGTTGAGAACAGAGGAAAAATAAGACCTTTTAGTATGAAACATCATGGGTGAAAAACAGTGGCTGAGTGGGAGTTTTTTAAAATTATGTTGAGTGGTGAAGTTTTGTGTGTTTTGAATCCACTCCACATTCCAAGAATCCCTGAGCAGTCATACATTCTAGTGATATAGAATTTTATTTTAAAATAGGCTGACTATATTTCAGTTGGTAGATATGTGCATGTATATGTCTTTCTTATTTCGGGTTAATATATCAAATAAGAATCTCATTTTCTAATCAGCTATGAGAAAACACACCTCTTTCTGAAAGTCTTCTGCAAAGATGCTGTAAATGACAAAATGTCATGTCCTGCTCTGTTCAGAGAAGAACTAAGGCTGTGAGAATAGGAAAGAGCAGAAAGAAATAATGCAAAATGCAACCCTATAGAATTTCCTCTGCCGGTGCCATGGGAGAATGGAATGGGGGAGGCTATAGATTCTGGCAGGAGCTGCTGGGGGCCTTTGAAATCTAAAGATCAAATCAGTAGGGGGGTCATCTGAAAAAAAAATGCAATAGGAGGAAACTCCAAAAGCCTCTGAACTGTTCAGAAAACTCACAGTGGGTTCAGAAAAGGAGAGACAAAAAAGGAGGGGGAGATAAGAGAACAATGGCCGTGGAAAGCAAAGTTCAATAGGAATTGTCAGTACCCAGCGGCTGGCAGCTATCAGAATCCAACCCACTGGGGAAAGATGTCATTCCATTGTAAGCCACACAGGAGGGGCTGTGGAGGGAATATTGTTTCCAGAATCCTTCGGACTCAAAGCCTGGAACCAAGCAAGGAGAACAATACAAATAATTAAGGGAGTAGTGGAATTAACTTACAGGGAATTCTTTCTACTTTTCTTCACCTGGTGAGATCAAGTGTAGTATTAATTTCACATCAGATAGGTCTTCTATCAGGGAACTGTATCCTGTCCTGGCAAAAGATGATCTAGTAGATTTTTTCCATTCCCAACTTGGAGGATGTAACAAATTATGTATAGCTTGGGAAAGTGATGCACCGGGTCTGCTACATCAAGGGCATATTTAAAAATATCTAAAATGAATAAACCCTAAGGAGGGAAAAGAAGTACAAAGTATTGCATTACAAAAGGAAAAATAAGAGCTTACTTCCTTTGCATTTATACAGAATCTATATAGAGAAGGAAGTCTAACCTTATATTAACTCTAAATCATTGATGTTAAGCCTTTTCAGTGTTTATTCTTTCATAACAATTTAGCTTATATTCCAAACCCATTTTGAGTAGCAAATATATCCAAGTTGCGGGTGGAAAAATTGAGTCATTGAGAAGATATTTCATTTGCATTCAAATACAGAGCTAGTCAGTAAAAGAGACAAAAATATGACCCAATTTTCTGGCCAATGGAATAAAAACAGCGCTACAGGTCTACATATTTTTATCAAATTCAAGTTATAAGGAATTTTTATTATGGCTATAATTTACTCTATAATTTGTCACTCAAATATTACTGCCCTACAATTATATTAATGAAACATCTCTAATCTTCTTATTACTAATGTAATGCATGCCACAATTGACAAAGCACTCCTTTTATACTCCTTTATTGGTGCACATTAACGATTGAATGCTCGACATGTTTTTAGGCTGCTTTGGTTCCTGTCAATATTTGCTGTCAAAAAACCCCATTTGGGTTCCTGATTTCTTGAGTGATGCTTTAAAAGAAGAAAAAGTGTCAAGTCAGGGAGTTAATGGCTCATTTTCCAATGTGGCTTTTCTTTGGCACCTATTCTGAAATTATCCATTTTGTATGCCCCTTTTTGAAGGCCACTCTCAAGTCATAAGTCTGCAATTTTAGGGCTAGTTGAGAGGATTTTAGAGCTCGTTAGAGCTATCTTCTGCCAAGTGAAAAGAGAAGTCTCTGGAGATGGGTTTGGTAGAGTGAAAAAGTCTATGTCCAGAGTCAGGCAGCTTCCATTTGGAATCTTTATTTGTGTGACCTTGAGCAAATTAAACCTCTTTGAGAGTCCATTTCTTCATCAGTAAAATGAAGATGATAATACCAACCTCAGAAGTTTGTTGTGAGGATATAGGTATTTGCACCCTCCACCTGTGTCTATTTTGCATTTTTGATGTTCTTACAATACTTTTCTTGAAGCAAGGGTTCCATGGTTAAGAGGTTTGAAAACCATGGACACAGCCTAACATTAATATTACAAATCGGGACAATGAGACCCAGAGCAATTGTCATTTTTTCGAGTACAGAAAACCTGTAGCAACTCCTAGCATTGGGCTCTTTTCACTACTGTAAGCCACCCACGAACCATGGAGAGGTGACATGGGGGCACATCACTAAAATTAATCTCCAAACAGGAAAATGTGGTCATCCCATAGCATGTGCTTTACCTTACTGTATTATTCTGGATGACCTTTACATGTCCCCTTACTGAAAACTATAATCTACTAGAGAGCATACATACTTGATTCAATGGGCTAGTCCAGCAATCAAGTCTTTCAGAAACAGTATGTTAACCTGAGCTCACTGTTAGAACAATGTGCTCTGCAGATGCTTAACACATGAGTTGGGGTGGGGGAAATCTAGTGAAATTTTTACCTTGTTAACCTATTCCCCAAATAGTCCCTATATTAATGTTTCCCCTCTTTCGTCCAAACTGCAGTGACAGAAATAGTCTATTGGTCTAATATAGATCATTTTCTGTGAGTCTTATTTACACTGTTTTCATATTCTTATTTCAGGCCCCTATGATATTTCATCCAATCTAAGACACCACCAATTGTAAAATACCATTATTTTATGTCCTGCCAAGAAATAAAGCATGTGCCAATTAAAATTGTAAGATACAATTGGTTGTAGGACACATTCTGACTTCAGATATTAAAGGAGGCACAGGCCAGGCATGGTGGCTCACGCCTGTAATCCTAGCACTCTGGGAGGCCAAGGCGGGTGGATTGCTTGAGGTCAGGAGTTTGAAACCAACCTGAGCAAGAGCGAGACCCTGTCTCTATTATAAATAGAAAGAAATTAATTGGCCAACTAATATATATAGAAAAAATTAGCCAGGCATGGTGGCACATGCCTGTAGTCCCAGCTACTCAGGAGGCTGAGGCAGCAGGATCGCTTGAGCCCAGGAGTTTGAGGTTGCTGTGAGCTAGGCTGATGCCACGGCACTCACTCTAGCCTGGGCAACAGAAAAAAAAAAAAAAAAAAAAAAAATTAAAGGAGGTACATCTTGGAATTAATGAAGTATGGCTCTATATTTGCTACCATGTCTTATGCCCTCTCCTCCTCCTCACACTCTAGGTCACCTGATATTTCCATTAAGCAGAGAAATAGCACAGGAGCCTCAGCCTTAGATTTTCCAAAATGCTTTCCTCTAAAATTGTGCTGTACTTGCCAAAGAGCTCCAGTTAAATAAATAAAGAAAAGAAAAAAAATTATGCTGTATTTGTATCTTAGCATATATGGTACATACTGATCAAAAATACTCATTGGCCCTAGGAATGGCTCCATCATGTTTTACCTCACTTGTTATCTGCCACAAATACTTTGGATTTGTTCCTTTCTGTGGGATAGGCATTATTCTAATAAGAGGGGGAATTTTTAAAGCCCCAAGGTGGGAAAGAAGTCACTTCCTGCTCTCGATGGGAGCAGAGCACAGACCCGCTGCCATGTTGCATGAACGTGGGCACTGTATACTTCCAGTATCATGGGTTAATCATTCCCTTGGCAACAGAGCTCGTACCAGGCAGTTCCAAATGGACCTTACTATACTTCCTAATGATTTTGTTTAGTGTGGCACCAAAATCATCCAGTCTGTGTCATAAGATAACAAAATATTTTGCTCCTGTTGCTCAAGCATCATTTTTATGCATAACATCAAAATGAAATTTCAACTTTTCAAACCCACATATCCAATTACTCATAAAGCAACACTTTATCGTCCGTGGGAAAAAAAAATCTGTTCTACTTTTAAAAAAGTATTTAATGCTTGTTTTATGTGAGTGATACTACTGGTTGAAGACGTTTTGCATTTGCATTAAATATTTTCACCTTTTGACATTAGGTACAATATGGGCAAAATCCAAATTTACATATTCTCTTCCCAAGTTCAAATTACTGTGTCAGTATATCCAAACAGAATTTAATGTTTAGAGTATGTCATGTTTATTAGAAAATATTTTACGCTTATTGCTGATAGAGATTAGTCTGTTATCTTAATAAAGGACAAGAGTCAATGAGTTGTGATACAAAGGGAACTTGACTTTCTAGTACAATCCTTACTCCTTACTGTGTGTGGGGGAGAAGGTAGAAGAGTGACAATTCCAGAGACCTAAGGCAATGAAGCTGCAGGACGTGATGGAAGGGAGGAGTTGGCTTCGGAGGTGTAAATGTCTCCCTTCTCCGTGGTATACGTGAAGGAGCCCTCCAGGAGGGCTAAGGTGTGGTATGGCTTTTGCAGATGCTCTTTCCTCCTTTCTTATCATTATGTGTTCCCTCCTCATCCCAGAGAGGGGAAAATAATATGCACCACAGGAGGGCAACAGCCAGAACAAACTGTCTTCAAATGCTTCTATTTAATAGGGAATCATAAAATCACTGCACAGACCTAAGGATGAGTGCCAGAAATGTGGAGTAAATGGAAGTCAAATTTTCTTTTGCATATTTTTGTGCTGTCATTATAGCAATTTTCCTGAGATAAAAAGCTTTGAAGATATACTTTTCAGACTCATTTTTCCTCACAATGATTACTGTCTCAGAGAGTGTCATAGCAATTTCTTACTTTCCTTGAGCTAAATCTACCCTGTTTTCTCTTTTAGGCAAATATCAATATTCCAATGGGAGCTTTTCGGCCAGGAGCTGGGCAACCCCCCAGAAGAAAAGAATGTACTCCTGAATTGGAAGAGGTGAGGAAAACTTAGCTAGCAGAGCAAGGCAATGTCTTTCCTTTTCTAAATCCTCACTACAGGGGATGGAGGCAGGAGAGGGCCAGCTCTCCAGCACAAGAGAGAAGGCTGTGTGTTCAGGAATCACAGTTAGTCTATACATTTCTTTAGTCGTCTTGCTCAGTCAGCCACAAAACACACTGCCCCTCTCTTTCCTTCAGCCAAACTTGTACAGTGCAGTTTACAAGTGCAGTTGTCACTGGTGCAGTTACTTCAAGGTACCAAGTTTAACTTCCAGACTGTTGATCGATTGATTGATTGATTGATTGATTGTGTGTTGTTGGGGGCAGAGAGGACATAGCCTCTCAGATGCTTTTGGTTTAGCAATATTCACTTGATTGGTAAGTTTTCACCTGGGAACTTTTATAGACGTGAGCAGGAGGTATTTGGTATAGCTTCCGATGAGTGAGGAATCTGAGTGGGAGCCCAGGAAGTAAGCACATTAAATCACTTGGGGATTGAAACAAGCAAACAAAAACTCAATCTCTCGGTGTTTCCTTTGAAAAGGGGATTTTGCAAGGGAATCTGTTAAGCCTCCATTTCTGTATTTTTTTCTTCTAATTCTTTACTTCTCCCCCAAATGCAAGTACCCAGTCTGCTAAAATGGAGGCTAAAATTAATAATGAATACAGCAAATAGGGAAGAGTTCCCTCCTCAGATGTTTATATTTCTTAACAAATTGTGACTTTTCTAATGAAACCTGGAAGTTCTGATTCTAGAAAAAAAAAGTTCTGATTTTGGAGCATTTTATTAGCACAAGACAAGGAAAATGGAATTAAATGAAGCCATAAGCCACAAGGCATAGCAAATTGTATTTTATCTTTTTAAAAAGTTGAAAAGACTTTTAATTTTAACAGGTAACATTTTTTGGTATTTGCTCCCAAAAGAACATCTATTCCTAATAAACTTTTGTCTAATAAACTTTTTGCCTCTAACCTTCTTTCCTGTGAATATTCCTGGTGTGGTCCTAACTTAGTGGTTCTAGCCTCCTATCAATAGAAAGATAATCTTTGAAAGGAGAAGATGGAGTATTTTAGTGACATCATCAAATTCTGGAATTTTAGCCACTAAGTTGACAAAAATTTTTTTTTCAATCAGCAGATGTTTATTGAGTGCCTACTATGTGACAAATAAAATTTGAACATACAAATTGCAAAGACCTGCCCCCCCCCCCCCCCCCCCCCCCCCCCCCCGCTTTTATGGTTACATAGTCTGGTATTGCTCACTTTGCCTTCCAGATATCTCATTATCGTGAGCTCTCCATCTGGGACTTTGGTCAAGTGTTTCTGAGTCTGTCTCCTCCATTCCTCAGATGGTCACTGTGAGGAGTCAGTGATATAATGGACATGGCAATAGCCTAGTGGGTATTTTATAAATGATTGTTCATCAGTTGATCTAATTATCCAATTTTCATGAAGGACTCCTGAGCCTATTGTTTTTGCATGTTGTAAGAAAAAGGCAGTGGACAGGTGGAGGGGATGACAGTGGAATTCATTAGATTTTTCCTCCTGTGCTTCCTCTTCAACTGCGTCTGTCACTACCATGGCAATCAGTCAGAAGGTAGCTTGACCCTCTTTTCTCATTAAATTGACTGATCTAACAGTTGTTTTGGAGGCTTGAATCTCATCTTCCATCTGTGGTACAGATGGCCATTGGTTCTTCTTTGTACAACTGGTACATTCCTCCACACAAGTGGAGGAAATGAGAAAGCACTTTGCACTCACTCTTTCCTTGTCCCCAATCTGATGGTTCCAGCACATTCCAAAATAGCTAAGAACTGATACACCTCCTTTATAACCAGCCACATATACAAATGGCCAACCCGTATTCATCACAGGATGGAGGGAATGAGGTATCCACAGAGGCCCAGAAACCCCAGTGTTTCTTAAACTGTGTCATGCCTTTCTCATGGGATTCACTGGGCAGAAGGGTGGATCTGGGGGTGCAATTCCCTTACCGTAAAAGCAGAAATGAACTTTCAGGATTCATGAGGTCTTAGGGAGGGAGTGAGATTTAATGACTCAATCTTTGGGCCAGACCTCAGAATAGGTTTCTCATGGAAACAACACTGTAAGGGGAGTAGGTAGGCAGCTTGCCTTGGCCACAAGGTGGGTTAGGTAGGATTTTGTGGGTTAGCTTGAGGCCCCAGCCACCTTTTGAGGCACAGTTTGAATGGGAAAATGGAATCTGGATTCAAAATGACCTATACATCCATAATTTTTATCATCTAGTATGCAAACTCGAAATTGCTTACCTTCATAGATTTGGGATTTGTTGCCTAGCCTTGCGTTAAGATAATTACTGTATAAAGTGGAGATGTGGAGATCATAACATACCTTCCCTGATCAGAACAGGTCACCTGTATCACAGCCAGTAGGTCGCCCATATAAACTCAGATTTTTTGATCCTGACACCCTCTCAGATGTGAAGAGGATGTACCCCAGCAGGAAGCCAGGACAAATCTTTGGCTGTCTGACAAGGCCTGTGAGTACTGGCTATGTCTGCAGCCCACCTGTGGTCTCTGGTGAGCCCTTCCTCTGCCCACAGAGCTGGAGTACTGCTTGGCCCAGCCAGAGGTGCGCATGTGCGGAGGCAGAGGCCTTACAGCCAAATCCTAATAAGCAGGGCTGGTCTTTTGTGTAAGAAAAGCAACTGCTTGCTTGAAGTAATTTGAAGGGTATTGACAAGACACCACTAAGCCTCCCAAATCTCTCGTTTGACTGAAACACCATCACTATTAAGCCACAAAATAGCACATTGGGATTTTCTGTTAATTATTTCCCTTTCCACCTGGTCCCTTCATGAGATGTAAACGTATTTAATTCTGGTCCAGCCATTTCCTAGCTGTGTGGCCTTGGGCCAGTTTCTTAGTCCTCCTGTGCCTGAGTGTCCTCAACTATGCAATAGGGATAATAATAGCACCAGATTTATGGAGTTGAAGTGAGGATTCAGTGAGTGAGTACATGTAACTTAGAACAGCAAGCAGTGTAAGTGCTTGCTGTTATTAATGTCTTCAGTGTTTGAACATGAATGAGCAGGTCAGATTGTACTGTCCCACATAGAGAGCTTAGGGAAAAACTCAGTAGGGCATCTGGTAGTAAAACGGGAGATGAGAGGAAAGTGAGATAGCTGGAAAATAGTTCACCATTTAGCAAAGTTTTACAAATATTCTGTGACGCCCCCAAAGGAAAGATTTCCCTTCAGAACAGCCATTCCTTAAACTGGTAGGATGATTCTGTGGCTGATAAGGCTTCTTTCACACACTCTTTATCTAAACCAAAGAATGTCTTTCATGTCCCTCCTTAATTCAAATATCTACTTATAAAAGAAAAAAAAAGGAATGTATTTATTAGACAAACAGGGCCATCTGGAACCCTGCTTGTTCATGCCTCAATTTACTGTAATTCTTATAATAACAAATTCATAGAATAAATGGAATCTTATTCCTATTATGTTTTTAAAAGACGAGAGAAGATTTAGTTAGGAAAATGCACCAACACCAGTTACAGATTCCTTTGTTCCTTCTCCACTCCCACTGCTACACTTGACCAGCCTTAAAAAAAAAAAGAAAGAAAGAAAAAGCACCACCATTAACCCCCTTCCTGAGTCAATATCATAATGTCTAGTTACTAACTATAATACATCCACTTATAATTTTCCATTATATGCCACCTTACCAAACCAAAGGCTAAAGTCTTACCTTGATAAATAAAAAAAACAGTGTATGAAGGTTTTAATAACTTGAAAGAAAAGTGCCTAATATTAAATATTATTAATCTGTATCTGTTCACATGTTTACACATAAACACATAAGTACAGACGTTGGCTTTGTGTGTTAAATGTGCCAATTTTGATGTTATGAAGACAGTGAATGTGACTTACCCAGGAATTTAACAGAAGGAATTGGAAACATTTTTCTTCTTCATGCTTCTTTATTAAGATCTACCCACCTAACAACCATGGGAACATTTATAAGTGAGGAAACATTTTTCATTTCACCGCTACGCGTATTTAAAAAAAAAAAAAACACGCAGCACTTTATAGCCTTGTTAAAAATTTCTTTCTGAAAGCCTAGCAAAGAACGTTTGGAATACCTAGTCCTCTAAGTAGATGTTTTACAGTTTTAATTATTGCTTCTAAACCTGCATTTATAAATGATGAATGTGTGTGCATAATGAAAAGCAGCCACTCCTGTGGCTCTGTACATTGATCCGGGGGAATGATATTTTCCAGATATATACAGCAGGTGTAGTTACACTGAATTACTTGATCATTTTGTGTGGGTGACACATTAGCTATTTCATCAGCACTGTACCAGATTCAAAGAAAATGACTAGAGGAAAAACCATTAGCCTTTAGTAGAAGAACGGCACCTTAATTTTTTTATATGTCTACTCATCCTCTCCAATAAGCACTTTAAACACATTTCTATAAAGGCCGTGTCTGCCAAGTAATTTGTTAGAGTTCGGGGAAGCTTGAATACTTTTTTCCTTTAGGTTCTAACCAATTTGAAAACTAGATATAGGATCCAGCTAGGGATTAACACACAGCATCAGCATTAATACCCAAATGACAGGGCTGCGGGGCAGGCAAGTGTGCAATTTCTGATTTCTTTTCCCTGGAACTGTATGGGTCTACCCAGTTGCTGGCCAAGCCGAGGGAGCTCTGCCAGTCTTGCACTGGGGATTGTGTTAGGTTGGGTCCTCCAAGAAGCAGACTCAAAGATAATTTACTGGGGAAAATACTTGTAAGGAAAAATGGGAGGGAGCTGCATGAGGTTGAGAGAACAGTCACCATGAGACAGGGGAAGGAGAGGACACAGGGAGGGCGGAAGGATTTCCGACCTCAGTGCTGTTCTAAGGCCAATCTCCAGCTGGCAGAGCAGTCCATCAGCTCCCAGGAATGGGCCCGCCTTAGGATTCCTGTTGCATTTTGTCATTGGCTGGGAGCAGCCGTGGGAAGCGTGACCTCAGCGTGGTGGTGGATGGATTTCAGGGTGAAACAGCTGGTGCCATCATTCAATTACCCTCCCTGCAGTAAAGCGATCTGAGACGTGTTCTTATGGCTGCCACTGTGATCAAATGTTCTTCCAACACCTTTCTCCAGGGCAGGGTGGGGGCGATATGCCTCCCCCCCCCCACTTATGACAAATAGAAGGAATGGGCTAACAAGCAACTTTGTTCTGTAGTAATGAGTTGGAGTTCTCAGAGCCACACACAGCAACTGATCTTATTGTTTTGTAGTCACTGTTATATGTGCGTCTGGTATATGTACATAGAGGCACAGGTTTGTCACTATTGGATACTCTTGGGATTAATCCGTTGAACAACAATCAACAAGTATGCGTGTGCACCTCTGTGCCAGGCATTGGAGGAGCCATAAAAAAGGATAGGATGCGGGTCCTGTTCTAATGCTGAGACACAAGCAATATTCAATGATAGGAAATTTAACATATTCCCCAAAGCAGGACGGGAGAGCTGGGCCTCCTCTGTCGCTGTTTCCCATCCTGCCCATATTCAAAGACGTTTTGCTTATGTTCCTTTCAGTCCTAAAGATGTCATTGGAACAAAGGCTGGCAGCCACTGCACCCCAAACAAAACTTTGAAAATTCTTGGACTAAGTCATTGTTAGAGCCAGCTGTGCACTAACGTTCTATGAAACTCTGTTGTTGGGTAGATTATGATCATATGATACCAAATTAAATCCAATCTTCTCTTGGAAACACAAATCCTTCTCATGGTCATTTTTATTAGTTATCAGAGGTTGAACAGTACTTTAGTGCAGGGGTCCTCAAACTTTTTAAACAGGGGGCCAGTTCACTGTACCTCAGACCATTGGAGGGCCGGACTATAGTTTTTAAAAAAACTATGAACAAATTCCTATGCACACTGCACATATCTTATTTTGAAGTAAAAAAACAAACGGGCAAAAACACCCGCATGTGGCCCGCAGGCCATAGTTTGAGGATGCCTGCTTTAGTGTTTTCTAAGTCACATGGAAATTACTTATTTTCTTCTTCCAGCTTTATTCCACATTTTGATACAAACTTTAGGAGATCTTATCGAAACTCTGAGGCTGTTTCTACAACACAAGACAGAGTCATCATGCTAGAATCACACTCTGACATTATTCTTGCTTTAATTTTTTTTTTCTGGTTCATGCCCATGACCCAGAGGATCAAATGTCTTTTTTGGTAAGTCAAACTTCCTCTCCTTTTTCTTCAGGGTGCTCCTCCTACTTCGGATGAGGAGAAGAAGCCAATTCCAGGAGCAAAGAAACTTCCAGGACCCGCTGTCAACCTGTCGGAGATCCAGAATATTAAAAGTGAACTGAAATATGTCCCCAAAGCTGAACAATAGTTGGAACAAAAAGGGTGAGTGAAAAACTATTTTCTTTGTCTTAAAAAGACCACTATAAAATAGTTTAAGGAAGCCTTTCACAGAAAGAATCTGGAATTCTACAAGCGTTTATTAAGTACCAAGGGCTTTCAATTTAGAACAGTATTTCTGGTGCAGTTTTCTGGTAAAGCCAAGCTTATGGACCTATCTTATGCCATAATCAGTCAGAGATCCATTGAGGATGTTTGCCTACCATCCCCTTTCTGATCATCCTTCTTGGTTGGGGAAGGATGAAGCTGAGAGAAGACAGACACTTGGGAAAGGAACTTGAGGAGCTTTTGATCTTGGGGTCCAGGGAGCCCTTCCTCATTCCATGCCTCAGTTTCCTCACCCAGATACCACAAAGAGCCACAAGCTGATCTTGAGCTGATCAAAGGAGCAAGTTGCTGAGCAGGTTTGGAAGTGTAAAGGGGCCTTTAAACAAAGTAACACATGTGTCTGTAAGGAGACTTGGTAATGACTCTTGATTGTGGACCAGGCAAGGGTAGGTTCAAAACAGTACGTGCTGCCTGATAAATTTTTATTTTAATCGGGTCCATTCAATAATGATCCCTGGTGAGGGCTCAGCCCATCCTTCATCTGCAGACCTGGCTCCTGTGGACTACTATGGAAATTCTGCCAGCAGGGGGAGTGTGGAATTAGCCTAAGTCATCACCTTTTCTCCTACAAGACCCTCAGAGCAAATCTACCCTTTTCCAACACTGCTAAAGCCCACCATGCACAATCTATTCCATTTCTTCAGTAGAAATTTAAGTCTAGAAGAGACGACTCTATATTGGAAACATCAAACAGGGTTTTATCTGCTTAATTGCCCTTTCATTCATCCATTCATTTGTCCACAAACCCATTTATTCAACCAATATTTATTATCTGTTATGTGCTGAATATTAGAAACATTTATTAATCACCATGAGCAAGATACTGTGTGAAGAGCATTATATATCCATTGTTTCTTTTAAACCTCATGATCCACAATTATTGCTCACATTCTTGAGATGAGCTTTAGAGAGACTGATTTTCCCTATCTAGCATGCATCCTAGAAAGGGGGTCCAACTTCAAAGTCAGTGCTGTCGCTTACTTGTTATATTGCTTCAACCCCATCCTCCCACCACACCTTATAGATGGATTGCACACTTCCTGTTGGGGTGAAATCTTCTGACCACATAGCTGGCAGAGGCAATGGTGGGGCAGATGGGGCCCTGTTGTGTCTTCTCTTTTAGACAGAATGAAGAACAGAATGTTCTGTGAGACAATCCAATGTGGTGTGGCAATGTTATTTGTGTCACGCTTATGCTGACTTAATAGGATATTTGCAAGTTAGTTCTGCTGAAAAGATTTCTTTATAGTATAGAGAAAGAGAGGAGCTGTTTTGAGTTAAAATAAAAGAATGGTATCCGGTGTTTCCAGCACAGTTACGTAAAAGAACAAAGGAGTAAGAATAAAACACAGTGGATTCTGTGACCATAGAATGACTCTCAGGAACCTGGATGCAGACAAAGTGACGTGAGCAGGAACTGACCTGACACATGGCTACACACACTTGTTAGTATTAATGACAGAGAGGAACAAATTGATGACTGAGTATCATATTCAGTCCTGCTTGTGTTGCCAAGCTGAAATGAAATCTTCCAGTATGTTTGGGATGAAGCTGTAGAACTTCCTTGTGAGAAAGCATGGAGAAGGGAAATTAACTTTTCGTAATATTTATTATCATTATCCAACCAAAGCTTTTCAGTTGGACACATGGATTTTTAATGCAAACTTTAAAGGTTTTTGCTTTTATGAAAGCCATGTTGACCTAAGTTTAACCCCAGTTTGTTTCAGAAGAATTTGGTTTTGAAGATTCAAAGGAATGCTGTTTTAAAATGAGCTCAGAGAGGATCTTGCAGTGTTACTTGGCAGTGGGATCGATTCAGTAGCCTTGGATATATGGTTACAGGGAATAGGGGAAAATACCAACTCAATAAAATATTGAAAAGGTACCAGAGTATCCAGAACAAATTTTTGTTGCTTCATTTTTTCTGAGAGAAGACTTTAATGATTCTTCTCTCCTGAACAAATTCTATTGCAAAACCACTCAGAGAGATGTATTTGTCCTTATCCTTATAGAAATGTGAAAATCTAAGTTGTCAGGGTAATTGATCTGAATTCCAAATGAGTACAGTCATTGTTTTAAGCCAAGAAATGATCTTTATTTCTTGTAGGAGGGATAGTAAGCTGGTTTGCTTTTGACTCATTTGTTTTTCTCCTTAAAATATGTCTGAGATTTTAAGACTTCCATGGTCATGGTCTGTGATCACAGAGGGAGAGCATTTCTTAACACTGATTCAGTGGACTCATAAGCAATAAATACTCTGGACCAGCCACCACCACTTAACCCCTCACTGTTTGGATAAATTTCCTCCTTTTGGGGCCACGACTTTGTCACCCACCCTCACCATATATTGTCCAATTATTTGATCAAAAAGATCAGTGAAGACTGAATAAGTCCATTGTGTCCATATTGTCAAACACTGTGAAAACCACGAAACTCAAGGCTCAAAGTCCACATTATACTGTAACTATTTTAGTACTTTAGACATATAAAACAGAGTAGCATCTCATTCCAGCTGAGATCAGTGCCTTCTTTTAGTAAAAGGCGAAAGATTTATACGATCTGAAGAGAAACCAGAGTATAGTGCCTTCTTTTAAATGGGATTTCAGATTCTTCCCATGTCCTATGTCATGACCAGAATAGTTCACAGAAGTCAATTAAAGGCATTACAGAACAAGAACCAGAAAGGCCAATGACTAGCCCATTAGGGATCAGGAGCCATGGCTTATGGAAAAGGACTTAGGACCAAAAGACACAGGAGTGTTCCAAATGGGGCCCCAATCCAGACTAGGTAACGTGGGGCAGAGAAGGTAGGATGTTCAGCCGTAACTTTTGGGAGTCTCCTGGCTGTGATTTAAGGTGGCCAGATGGTGATTTGAGGGGGAAAGGTGTGATGATTTGGAGTTAGGGACAATTTCAAGGAGGTGGTGGGAATGGAAAGGTTTAAGCAGAGGCTCAGAGATAGCCTCTGAATATATGGAATGTCCAGGACATCATTAGGAGACCAGCCTAGTGAGACCAAACTATTCTTCTAGGTGAACTAATAGGCCTTGATTATACATTAAGAAACATTGCTGAAGGACAAGAAATGAGAGTGAGTTGGAATGATCTGCAACTCCCCTGAACCCATATGCAGCCCCATAATCTCAAATTAGTCTCTGTCCTATACCCCATATCAATTAACCAGTCTTGATTCTGGATTTTGAAGATCTGAAAAGAATCATCACGATGCCCTGTTGGGGGAGGTGTGCCTTTGTCTTAGCTCAGGCTGCTATAACAAAATACCATAGACTGGGAGGCTAAAACAACAGACATTTATTTCTTACAGTTCTGGAGGTCGAAAGTCTGACATCAGGGTGCCAGCATGGTCAGATTCTAGTGAGGACCCTCTTCTTGGCTTGCAGATGGCTATCTTCTTGCTAGGTCCTCATGTGGTAGAGAGAGGAAGCTCTGATGTCTCTTCTTCTTCTCATAAGGGAACTAGTCCTATCATGGGGGTCCTACCCTCCTGACTGCACCTAAATCCAATTACCTCTCAAAGGCCCTATCCCCTAATACCATCACATTGGGGGTTCAGGCTTGAACATATGAATAGGGGGGACTCAAACATTCAATCCAGGACAGCCCTCTTCCTCTAGCACTCTGCCCCACCCCTAGCATCTTCTGTTTATGCTGTCATAATATTTATCAAATTGTAATAGATTTGTTTTTTCATTTATATATCTTCTTTATGATGCCAACATATAGCTCCTTAAAGGCTGCAGTGCATATGATACATACTCGGCACACAGGGCACGTGTATAGGATGTTATGGTGCTTTGACCACAGCATATCTAGTGTCCCCTAGAAATGTAGACATTCCAAATCCTTGTATTCCTAAAGAGATTACTGCTTAAAAGCAAGACTATCTTCTCTCCCAAGGGCTAAAGGTAACATTGTTGACCATAGTCAGTAATGGGCTCAGAAATTTGACTTTAATTCATTGATTATATTCCTCTGGGAAATTGAAAAATGAAAGAAAATATCAAGTTAGGCAGGTTCTTATCCCTCAAAGAGGAGGAAGACATATAAAACCAGAAGAAAGCTTACTTTTCGAGAATTCTTTGGCTTCATTTTTCAAAGAACATCTATGTCCAGATAAGACATATTTACCAAACCAGTCATCTAGAGAGATGTCATCTCTGATAGAAGAGAACATAAGGTGCTCATTACTCTTAAATGTTAAGTATTATGCGTCACCATCATTCCTGCTGATTCAGTGGCTAATTTTGAGAGTGTTGGCAGGAGGGCAAATCGATGTACCCAGCTACTTGATCAAAAGTACATTTAACACCTAACAACAGACCCCCAAAGCACATGAAGCAAAAACTAAGAAAACTGAAGAGAGAAATAGACAATTTAACAATAATAATTGGGAACTTTAATGCCCTGCTTTCAGCAATGCCTAGAACTAGACAGAAGATCAACAAGGAAATAGAAGACATGAACAGCACTGTAAACCAAATAGACCTAACAGACATACGTAGAACACTCTACCCAACAACAGCAGAGTACACATTCTTCTCAAGTACACATGAAACATTGTCCAGGACAAGCCATATGTTAAGCCATAAAATAAGTCTCAAATTTAAAAGGATTGCAATTATGCAAAGTATGTTCTGTGACCATAACAGAATGAAATTAGAAATCAATAACAGAAGGAAGTTTGGGGAATTCACAACTTGTGGAACTTAAACAACACACTTCTAAATAACCAAGGAATCAAAGAAGAAATCACAAGATAAATTAGAAAACACTTTTAGATGAATGAAAACAAAAATGCTTTTAATAAAAGCCATTCTAACTGGGATAAGGTGATATCTCATTGTGGTTTTAATTTG